ATATGTAATTTGACTAATTAATAAAGAGATAGAGGATAGACCTCTCTTTTAAAAAAAAAAAAAAAAAAAAAAAATAATACTAATTTAGATTTTATATCATATAATTTTTAGTGATTCAGGAGTTTGGATTAAGGTAGAATTTTTGTTTGTATTGAGGTTATAGATAACTTGGTTGGCAAAGATTTCTCATTGCACTTTGTCTATTGTTTTGTAATTGAAGGTTCTTTCTTTAGTTCAAGTTGAATATCTGTTTTTGCCAATAAAGACATAGCAGAAAGTCCAAGAGGATATAAGAATTTTGTGATCACTTTGAGTACAGTTTTCTGTATTATCTAAGTAGAATGAGTTAAGATATTTAAGTAAAAGAAGGTAGGCCCAAATGTAGTCAATAGTACTATAGTGTCTACTACTGTGCCAGGTATAAGAAGAAATATTTGTATAATCTGCCAAGTTGTAGATATTATTGTATTGTAAAAATTGCAGTAATTTGTATTTAATAGATAAGAAGGTAGAGTTGTTAGATGGCATATTAAAGTCACCTAGTATTATAGATATAATGTTTTGGTTAGTTGCTTGTTAAATCTATTGAATAATAGTATTGTGTATTTGAAGTCTAAGTTGTGAATTTTCATATGATAAGTATATAGATATTATTTGAAATTTGTGATTATGTTTAAAGAAGAGATCAATAGCAATAGCATAGTCAGAAAAAGTAAGAATATTGTATATATGAGATGTAAGTTGTTTTTAAATCATAAGTGCAGTTCCTGCTTTGGAATTATTAGTACAAGACCAGAAATAAAAGAAGTGTTTTGAATTGTAAAGTTTGATAATAGCATTGTCTTCTACTATTTTAGTTTCTATAATACTAATAATATTCAAAAAATAAAAGATACTATAATCTTTTTAAACTTACTGTTTGAGGTTTTTATTGAATTCTTGAACATTATGAATATAGATTGTAAGATTTAGAGGTGAAGTGTTAGAGATCCTAGGTTGTGTTAAGTTACTAGAAATAGAAGCTAGAAGTGTTAATATAGAAAAGACAGATATTGATATGTTTGATTTTAGCTGAATGTTTAGATAATACTAGATAGCTTGAACTGATAAGATAAAGGAATTGGATAATGGTTTAGTTTCAAATGGAAGATAAACATAAGCTTTACTATAATCATTTTTAATCGAAATAGTTAATGTATAACCACAAGTATTATTAGATGAATAGCCAAAGCTATGAATATATCATAAGAAAGAAATAATAGTTTGAGAATGAGAGAGCAGTGGTAGATGGTTATAGAATAGAAATTTGTTATAGTAACTATTAAGTTGGATGTTGTCATAATATTGTTTAGCTATATTAGTTTCATTATGACCTTCTAAAATAGTTTCTACTAATTAAAAGTAATTGTAGTTTATGTCATTTTCCTTTATGATTAGGTTAGTATTTGGTGTATTATTGTTTATTAAAGAAAATTTAAAAGAAATAGATATATAAAGATAATAAGTATAACCTAATAGTTGTGAAAAGAAATATTCAAATGAAGGTTGAGATTTGTTTGATAAATTTGTTATAATTGATTTTAATTGATATTGTAAATACATAATTAAAATTGTTTAGTACTAAGTAGTTATAATAATAAATATGTTTTAAAAAGAAGCTAAGTGCTTGAGGATATAGAAATAGATGTAGGTTCAAATATGCTAACCACAGGTTATAGCATGAATCTGGATCATATAGTATATTCTAAGATGAGTCTTGTTGTTCTTTCTTGATATGAGATGATAAAATAGAATTTAAGAAAGTGGAGAGTTCTTCTGTAGATTTGCTCACTGTATGTTTGGCTTACACAACTGTGCAGAATACTATAGCCTGTCCTGTATATTGGGTCTGGCTATTATTAACCTGGTCTTCTGTATAAATAGACTTAACTACCTGTCCACTTACATTATTCTCTTCTGGAAATAGCTTATGTTCAATAGAGGACATTATAATTTCAGAAGTAGTGCTGCATTTATGAGTTTTATAAAAGATTTAATTAAAAAGAATTATAAGAATAAGTAGATGAAAGAGCATCTTGGCTAAGAATTTCAGTATAGAATAGACTTTTATCAGTTTTGGTTTTGTTTTTAGAGAGTTTTAGATTAAAGAAAAAATTATCTTTAAACTTTTTAAAAGAATAAAATTTGATTTTAAATTTATCTTGAAGTAGTTTTTGAGCTTGTGAGTAAATTGAAGTTTTATATGTTTTAAGAATTTCTAAAATTGAAATAGTTGGTTGTTTGAGAATATGAAAATAGGTAATTATTTTAGCAAATTATAATATATATTATTTTGAAAAAAAACTATACTTATATATATTATAAAAGTCTCAGTAGTAACATTTTAATTTGTTAATTATCATATAATTATCATATAATTTTTATAATAGACTTATAATACTAATCTTTAAATAAATCTATTTTAACAAATTTTAATCTGAATTTAATGATTCTACTATCATTAGAATTTAAAAGTCTGCTTTACAACTTTGTTTAAAAGTTTAAAAACAGTCAAGTTAGTAAAAATATTTTTAAATACCAAAATAAAAAAATTTACAATTAAAATTATATAACAAATAATCTATATATACTCTATTCTTAAAATATGATCAATAAAATAAAAAACATAAAATAATATAAAATGCTTATAATAAAATTAATAATAAAAGTAAAATCTTATATAAAACAAATAATAACCTAATAATACAACAATTTAAAAGTCATAATAACAATAATAAGAATTGTATTAAAATCAATAACTAGACAAAAAATTCTAGTACATATGTAATATTTATGCAAAAATTTATTGTACAAATACAAAAAGTATAAGATAAATCATCATGATCAATTATTCAATCATATTTAAAATTTTATAAACACTCACTTAACTTGAAGATAAACCATAAGATAGCTGCACAATGTTATTAAACAAAACCAGAAATAAAAAATGTAAAGAGTATTAGTATTGTATATTGTAAATACAGTATATAGATTGTTGTACTATTAGGCATATATAGTGATATGTTATATATATAGTACACTATAAGCTGTATGCAGCAAAATTTTTAAAAGACTGCATAGTAAGACTTTTAGAATCTAGGTTAGTTAGTATAATTATAACTAGCTAGTATAATTCTAGTCATATTATATAATGCTGCAAGCTATACAATGACTTATTTCTAACTATAGATAATGTACACAAAATTTTTGTCAATTTTTTTTAAGGTAATTAGTATATGATGTATAATAATACAGATTGCCAAAAAACAAATAAATTTTTAGGATTATATATAATATAAAAACATTTTATTTATTATAAAATAATGTATTTTGTTTCTGATATAAGCAAAAACAAGATATAACTTAACATTGTTATATTTATTAAATCTAATTTAAACAAGTTAATTTTTTTTTTTATAGAAATTATGCAATGCATATAAAGTTAGAATCTGTAAGAAAAGATGGCAATTCTAGTATAATAGTTAGATTGTTATCCTTCAAGTGCAGGTCTAAAATTCAAATCCTATTTATGATAAAATTTAAAAATTAATTTATATTACAGAAAACTGTTTCCTGTTAATTAGTTAGATTTAGGTATCTGTAATCTTAGTTACAACTAATTAGGTTCTACTCATCATTGAAAGTTCATTGTATCTATATGAAATATAACATTACATATATATAAAAAAATATTAATAACTGGTATTATATAAGACATCAATGCAAATTCATGATAAAACTAACAGATGCAAAAGACCAAAAAACTAAAAAAAACAGAATCTTATTTGAAAATTTCTAAATAAAAAATAGCACAAATCTTCAATGATATTGTCAAACCAATAGAAGCCTAGAAAACCCTAATAAAAAATAGATATACAATCAGATAACAAGATGTATAGAAGAGCATATAACTAACTAGATTGCTAAAACTGCCAGAAAAAAAAATACTAAGTTATATTATACTAAGCTATCTAAATTGAAAGTTTGAGAAGTTTGTCAGATTCTAAGTTAGATAGTAGAAAGATAAAGAGAAAAATAGATACCAGGATTTGGATAAATTTTACAAGAGTAAAAATAATGTAATATAGCAATTTAAGGTTAATTCTGATTACTAATATTAAGTAATTATAATGTATTATATAAAAACCTAGTTAGCTATATATAAGATATAGAGGCTCTAATAGATTTGTTTTAAAAATAAATAGGTCTAAGGTTGAGATAAGAATCTGAATATAAGTGATCTAATAAAGTTAATATAAAAGTTTCAGATTAGAAAGTTTAAATAGAATATCTAAGCAGAAGTATTAGATATAACAACTAGTAAAGAACCTTTAGACAGACCTCTTAAATAGGTAATATAGAAAAATTATTTGTATAACCAGTTATACACTCATTGTAATACTCATCAAAAGTATTAATAAAAAAAAATCATTTTAATATTAAAAAAAAAACCTGTAAAATCAGAAATAAAGTAATTAAATAACAAGACATAACTTTAAATCTGAAATGTATACATACAGTTTGTATAAGCTATATTAAACCAGTTACACTCCATTTATCATATATCAAACGAATTTCATATTCTTTTTAGCATTGTTCAAAGTTTCACACAAAGTTACAAGAATTGATTATTTAATCAAGTCCAAGATTTTACATATTAACATCTGAATTACATATTGACATCTGAATTACATATTGTAAATGACAACTTGTACCTTCCTGATCTTGAAAAACTACCTAAAATAAATAAACAATGAAACCCTAAATCAATACTACATAAAATTGTAACTGTAATTACTAAATCTTCAGAACAATTACTATTAATAGACCCAAATAATAAAACAATTTACATTATTCTGATTAACAAAGATAAAAACTAAAATGGATCAATGTGTTAATATTGCCTTGTCAAGAAAAACTTATGACCATGTAAGTGTATCTCCAATTGATTGAATGAATAAAAATATTAATTGAAAAATAAAAAGAAAGCATTGAATGAGTGAGAAATGGAGCTGTATAAAATTGAAAAGGAATGAATTCATTTGGGTTCTATGAGAAAATAGTGAAAGAACTACATGAAAATGTTTTTGGATGCCAAACATTATTAAGGAACTAGAGGCTGTGAAGGTAAAGGAATTAACTAAAAGAGGATAAAAAGGCTTGAGATAATGAGGAATAAGTATTAATATAATAGTGAATTTTTCAAAAATGATCTTTTTGCTTCGCTGTAAAATCCTTATAAAAAGGAATCATTTTCACTTGAACAAAGTATGTGCCATTTCTCATTCAAAAAATAAAATAAAATATAAATAAGATTTCTTCAATTTCTTCTTCAAAGAAACAATAAAAGATCCAAATTCATAAAGTAAATGTTCTTTTAGAACTCATTCACTTACCCTATCCAAGTCCTCTTCATAATGTCCCTCAAATATCGTCTTAGACCAGTGCAAATCATTCCGCCTCTAGAACGTTTGAGGAACATTATGCGACATACCCCATTCTTTAGCGACAATTCATTGCTTCTCTTTGTTGTTTGTGTGTGTGTATCCCGACGATCACCAAGTAACAATATAAACCACTGGGATAAAGTAAACCGTTATAATGGCAAGCGCTATTTCGCGCAACTCCAAATCATGCGAAAACGAAATAAGATAGATCAATGAAAACGAAAGGCATAAAATAGTAAAAAGGCTGCATAACAAAATTGATAATACAGGTGGGATCTCGTGTAAAACAGGTAATAACCTGACAATCAAAAAGTCACGATAATAAATAGTAAGGGCCCGTGTTCAAATCAATGACTAAATAAGATAGTCTAAACACTTTAAAATACAAGCATCCTATAAACCATACACTACGTTGTACGTTGTACAAACTCCGTTCCTGGTATACACTATAAATAAATCTGGGAATTGAATATTGTGTAACCCGATTTTCGATCTTTTCTTAGCAAAAATGACCCGAATGAATTAACGGATTGACAAAATCTTTATGATCTCTATTTCCATTATCCATATAATTCAAACAGATGAATGACCATTCACTCTATCTCATATCTTATGCATGAATCAAAAGAGACTGTTGCTATCACGTGATTTTGCGAAATAATTCTATTTAGATATTACAATAAATTTTTTTTTATCAATTAAAATTTTACTATATTTTTTATACATGCAATAAAAGCGTTAAAATTTGGTAATTACATGCTGATCAGGCAATAAAAAGTCATATATTTAGAGATCAATTGAAACTTGCATATATATTACTGTTTAACCTTCCGAAATCGATATACATTGTGGACAAGTATTGAAAGGTTATCAGATTTGAAAACACCATGAACTGCTGTTGAATTTATAACAATATTGAGAGGTTATCAAATATGAAAACATTATAAAAATTAGATTTATATAACAGAAGCATATTGGATTAATTTTTATTAGATTAACAAATTATCGGTTTTAACAGCATCAACTATAGTTATAATGTCCTCTGATAACCTCGCAAACCGATTTTGGGAGATTCAACAGTGCTAATTTTAAAATAATGTCAATTAAAATAACATTATTTTACTATTTATTTATTAATAAAATAAATAATACCAAAGTTAACTAATAATAATTATAAAATCATAACATAGGCATGTTTGTCATATTTCGGCTAATTTTTTACAATAAATAAAAGTCTTAAATTCGTCTTGTTTAACTCCAATTCCATATAGATAACAAAGACCAACAGCTTTTATTGCATCAGCATCACCCAAATTGACACATTTTTGATAATAATAAATGCTTTATGATTGTCTCTTTCAACACCAAATCCATTATAATAACAATATCCAACAGCATATATTCCAGTAACATAACCCATGTCGGCAGATTTTTGATAATAGATAAATGCCTTATACTCATCCTTTTCCATTATCATAGCAACATCCAACATTAAATATTCCAAGAACATAACCCATGTAGCAGGTTTTTGATAATAGATAAATGCTTTATCATCATCTCTTTCAACTCCAATTCCATTACTATAACAATATCCAACATTATTCATTCCAATAAAATGACCCATATCAGCGGCTTTCTGATAATAAATAAATACCTTATTTCTATCCTCATTAAAAGCATTTCCTTCGCCATAACAAACACCAAGACCAATTATTCCTTCAATACATTCCATATTTGCAGACTGTTGGTAATGAATATATTCCGTATGCTCATTCTTTTTTACCCATTTACCAAAGCGATAACACCTTGCAAGAACAATTTGTGCTATAGGATTGTTTTGGTCATTCAAGCACCATTTGATAATATTATCAGGATCTTGTTTTCTATTTATTAGAATTTGATCTCAAGTGTTTATAATTAAATTCAAATCTTCACATTTTAAACTTTTTTCGTTGTATCTACTATATAATTCTTTAGTGATTTCACAAAAGAGCTACTATCTTTAGAAGATAATTGGTTAAAAATATTGGTAATGTTAATATTGTCAATTATTTGAATGGTTTCATTTGATAAACTAACAATTTTTTCCTGATGTGCAGCAGTTCGATAATTTGACATTTTAAAGCCAAGGAAACAAACTTAAAATTGTCCTGAGTGCAGCGGAAATTTATTATTTATCTAAGGTGACACAAAATTTAATTTTTAATGCACCAATAGTTAAGTTTTTGATTAAAACTATTTGTTGACTTATATAACTGCACCAAAATGTAATTTTGAAATTCTTGTATGTTCCCACGAGTGTCAATATAAGTATTAATTATTGTGTACCAAAAATCATTGAAAATCATTTCTATATTATGTTTCAGAAATCAAATGCTATTCGGCCAGACTGCACTGATTGCACAAAATCTGTATGATCTCTTTTCGCAGGTATCTATATAATTCTAACAGCTTAAATGACTATTCATTGATATTCTCATATTTTATGTTGAATCAAAAAGAAGCGTTTGCTATCACATGATTTCGCTAAGACAGGGATATTTATGCTATCAACTCATTTATTTAGACATCACAAACAATTTTTATCCAATTAAATTCTAATTTATTTTTTAATGTGCAATAAAAGTATTGATATTTTTTTAATTACATACTGATGAACCAATAAAATGTTACATATTTATAGAGATCAATCGAAACTTTCACTGTTTAACATAGAAACTTTAACATATATAACTGTTTAAATTACAAAATCGATAATATAGATATACTTGTCGCACAATCCCAAACTCAAGCCCAAACTAATATCTCAAAAGCTTTATTAATAATTTTCATTTAAACATAATATATATTCTTATAGCTATGCATAATATATTTACAAAATAATTTTTTTTTGTTAAATTTTGTTATTTGATTTTTTATAAAAGCAATCTGTTATTTTGGTGTTTGAGATTTGTTTATATTTTGAAGCAAATATAATTATGGACAAGTATTAAAAGGTTAATAGTTTTGAAACATCATAAACTACTGTTAATCTTCCAAAATAGATATGCATAATAGGCAAATTTATATTATTATTAAGAGGTTATTGGATATAAAACTATTATCTCTTAAACCATTCAGTTTAGCAGACAAATTTGGTTGCTAAAATTTATAAATTTATATTTATTTTACTTTAATTAAAAATAAAAATATAAAAAAATATTTTAAACAAAACCTATAATTATTTATTATATAAAATTATTTATGTTTTTTAATATTATAAAAAATTTAAAATTGTTTAAAAATTTAATTTTAAATATATATATTTTTTTTAGATATTAGTTTAGTATAGATTATAAAGAATTTAAAATTAATCAACTTTAATTATTACTATATTAATAATTTATTAAAAAAAATTAAAACTTTACTTAGTAGTATTAAAAGTATTTGTTTAAAACATATAAAATTTAAAAACTTTTAAAATTCTAATAATAAAATTAAAAAATAAAGTTTATTAAAATATGATATTTTTATTAAAATGTTTTTATTGCTTTTGTTAAAGCCAAAGTTATAGTAGTTACTACCTTTATTTGTATTTTTGTTTTATGCATTACATATAGCTTGTACAAGATAAGTATACAACTAGTCATATATACAACTTTTAATTACCTATTTAAGTAGTCTACTTGCAAGTTTTACACTAACTGTTATACTTATAATCTACTAAAAAATTATCTATTTAAACATTTTGATCTTTATACTGCCCTTAAGTAAATAGTTACCTAGTTTCTGTATATCTAAGTGTCATTTACTAAGTGAATAATTATTTGATTCTTATATATTTAAATGCTGTTTAACCTAATATTTAGTATTTTTTTATATATTTATCAGGTCATTATCTCTAAAATATATTTTTAAATTATAATTCTAACTATATATTTTTCATTATACTTAAAGTTTTCTATAAAGAGTAGTAATTTAGTAAAATAAATCAGTTAATATTCTTTTAAATAGCAAGTTATAAGTTAAAAACTTACTAGAAGCAAAATTTAGAAAATATATCTGTATTATAATAGTAATATTCTGTCAATTAGTTAGGATAAAATACTTGTAACTATAGTTATATTTGTATAATTGCCAAAGTATTATTATTTTTTTTAATATTAAGATAAGCTTTAATTATATCTTTATTAGTAATTTAAAATAGTTATATATATATATACTATGACTAATGCCAATACTTGTAGTTAAGGCTAACTATTAAATTGCCAACTATACAACTACTACTATTTGTACAAAACAAATAAATTAAAAATTATATATATAAATAAAAGCTTAGTCTAATTTATTTGTAATCTAAATTTACTAAAATGGTCAAAGCTTATTTAGATTTAGATATTTAATATATAATTTAATAATATGCTATATTTGATCTATAAAATAAATAAAATATTAATTTTGCTAATTGTTTGACCATTAGAAGAGCATGTATTAAAATGATTATATAATTAATTAAAAAGTTTGCAAAAACATAAATTAGTATAGTTTCTATAAAATTATGTATATCTAGTAGTTAAATTTAATAATATTAGAAGTTTGTTATTAGATTGAGATTAAGATTTATTTTGTTGTTTTTTTCAGTTAAAAAAATAAATACAATATATTTTTTATAATTACTTATATAATTGTTTATTAATATATATTAAAAAAATGTTAGTAATAATTTAAAAAACATATATGAAGAATGATGGTCAGACTTAATGCACAAAGCAGACTATGGAACTCTTTACAGCTGTAAGAGCCGAGCTTCAAATTGTAAGCACCCTTGTAGAAGACAATATATCAGGGTTAACTACAACATCTTCAAAATTCATTGTCCCTAATATATGCTACAATTTATTCTTATATAATAACAATATGCTACTCATTCATTATCCACAAACATTACACTCTTTTATTCAATATTTACAACATCACAACTTCACCAAGCTATTTAAAATATTTATTAATTTATCTCATACAGAAACTCATATTTATACTAACTATAATAACAACCTACTTTCTAATCATACTATACTTTCATATCATCAATATTATAAATATTATTAACTACCTCTAAAATCCTTTTCCAATCTTCTTAACAAGAATATTTTATTTAAACTCAATATTGCAACACACAATGTTCAAGGATACAACACACAAGAAAAAAGGTTACTATAGGAAAATTACTGTTTAACTCATAACTTACATATAATTAATCTTACTAAAAAAAAATCTTTAAAAATACAAAAACCAAGTTCTAAAACACACCTTATTATTTATATTTCTGGTCCAACTCTACAGAATCTAAAGAAGGAACATATATAATGATTAAAAATAATATTTAGCCTCATATATACAATATAATTACACAATCCAGTAGTGCTATTGCTATAAACCTATTTTTCAAATATAATTATAAATTTAAAATTATTTCAGTATACCTCTCATTCACTAATACTGCCAACCACAAACTTATACAAGACATTATTACTACATAGATACAACAAACAATATTATCCAACCTATATTCTATTATATTCGGAAATTTTAATAAAGACAACAATATAACTACATTATCAGAAACTAAATTTTAATTATTCAATTACTTGTATAATACAAACATGTATGACCTAGCAGACCATGCCAATAATTTACAAAAAACTTAGCATAGTACTCGATACCAAACCAGAATAAACTATATATAGGCCTATAATGCTCTTATACCATATTTAAATGAATTTAAACTTGACAATTCATCATTCTCAACTAATAGTAATCACTAAATCCTAATCTCTATATGGATATTTCCATTTGCAGCAAATAAAACCAGACACAAAACCAAAAGTAGATGATGAATATTTAATTACAAAATTATGTTCAAAGAAGACTAGAATGATTTTACAGATCAAATAAACTTGAATATAATACAACACTAGGTTTTAATTACAATAAATACAACAGAAAACCTTAAAAAAACCTGGCATAAAATACATATCAGTATCATTAATGCTGTATTTCAACATATTCCAAACAAAAAATATACTATTAAAAATTTTTATCATATATTTAAATCAAAAGCAATCCAATTACATCATGATCTTAAAACTATTGAACATATTATACATTGTATTAAAAAACTTTTTTCATACCAAATACCATTATCTACTAATATTTATAACCTTATTGATCACATTAATAGTACTCATAACTTACTATTGAATCACTATCCAACTATCAATCCAGCCTTGCTACTTGAACATAGTATACAAAAACTTTCTAAAAAATACTTTACAATGCCAGAAACATAAAAAATTCTAAACATCTTCATAACCATATCAATATAGCTACAAACAAATGATGTGAACAATTATTTATTCAACTAACCAAAATAATTAACAGTATATTAAACTGACATACAGATACAGTACATCTCCAAAACATTAAATCTACCAATAATATAATCACAAATCCTACAGAGATTAAATAACATGTTGTGAACATTTTAAAACATAGACAGCTCATTATTCATTTGATGAAAATATCTTCGATCAAAATTGAAAGACTGTATATCAACTTAATATAGTATTAATACTGAATGGTATATTCTTATACTTCAAGCAATCACTACAGAAGAAATTATAAACACTATACAACAATTACTTAATAACAAAGCCTGTGGGCCTACTGGAATTAGTTATGAAATGATTAAACATCTTAGACCTAATATGCAATCTGCACTTATAGCATTCTTTAACAGATGTTTAACTATACAAAATATTCCAAAACAATGGAAATCTAGTAGAATATATCCTATTTCAAAAAAACAAGAATTTAATAGACCTATTAGTTTAATTGAATATACAAAGAAACTATATACTAAAATCCTTACTAACTATTTATCACAAGTCTTAACTTAACACCAAATTCTCAATCCATATAACTATGTTATACTTCCTGACAACTTAATCAACAATTCAATCTATATACTCAATAACTTCCTTGAAGATGCCAAATGTACCAAAAAACACATCTGGATTTTGTCTCAAGACATGAGCAAAGCATATAACTCTGTAAATATACATCTTTTAACCAAAGCT